ACTCACGGGATTCACCCCGTTTGACATCATAAGTATTAATAAAACTATTGATTGGTTAAGTTAACATGAAATTAACAAAATACAGTAAAAGAAACAAATACTCACCCCTGATTTTAATAAAGTAATAAATTGAAAGAATAACAAACAAATAAGTACAGCTGAAGTATTGTTATTAACATTAGGTATACGAAAAGTTCCCTTTAGAAAGGAATTACGACCTTAAAGGGCAGTTTATGAAATAATGGATAATTTTGCGCAAGGTTTCTCGTCAGGACGAACATTTTTAGTATATGGTTTATGGAGGTGTGACTTGTAGTTTTCTCAAAAGTTCATGGGTACTTTTGGCTTTATATATAGATTACCTCACAGCAAATTGGTAAACGTGTACAACTAAACACAATTTTACTATAGCGACCCAAAAACCGTTGCTAACATTCAAAATACACCAATTATCCTAAAAGCAATGTTTATAAAACAGTCATTACTTATTAGATCATAAATTGACACGTCTTAATTGTGCTGCATATGTTCCATTCTATTCTGTTTAAACTGTTTGGTTAATGGCTACAGCCATGCCGTGAGGTGCAGTAGTGTGTTTGTATGAGGGTATAAATACCACTAACTTATAGTTAAACTTGCTCTCCACCGCACTACGGGCTTGTATGGCTTGTTTGCTGTGATATGTTTCCAACCTAGTTCGTAATCTTGCAGTATAAAGCCCATGCTTCCCTTGACATTAATAGTTTGTGTGGTCTGTTGGAAAAGCCGATTATAAATTCAGCACTATGTAAATGTTTAGTTATAATCTTAAGTCAACGATCATTTTAATATGTAGTGAAGGAAAGTTGAACAGATACAATATAGCTATTGTTTAAACTTTAAATTATATTGCTTTTAAGGTGAAAATATTGTCATATAATTTTATATAGCTATTTTGGTCAAACATACTTTTCACGATTAAGAATTAAAACAGAAAGGTTCCAATTTTTTTTGACAATATTGTGTTTAGTGAATTACTTGTTTCCGAAAAAGTCACCTTAAACAAATGCTTTTATCATTAAAACTAATAAAAAAACTTTACAATCATTATTATTTTACTTTCATTGGAACAAAATACACCCGGATACATTGATATGCAATGCATGAACTTATGATAATTTATATTCGTGATACGCAAGTAACATAATTCTCTTCCGTAACGATAAATGACACCTCGTTTAGATGCGAGAGATAGAAAATTACGGAAATTTTGTCTTCACCAAAAACCACCAGAATAAAAATCTCATATTTAAGGTAATCACAATTACTATCGAAAGCTGCAATTAGTAGTTTTTTTAAATGAGTTGTTTTACTTACGATGTTTATAATTTTAGTAATCTAATAATTCGGTGACATGTAATCTCATTAATATTTAATCAATTCTGAGTAAGTGGTAAAAAGGTCGCCAACACTACAGGGAGATCAACTTTGCTCTCAAGTGTAACATGTTCTTGTCACTGATCGTTCAAACTTTTCCACAAGTTAGTGTTAAAAACCCGCAGGGGGATGGTTTTCTTCCACATGTTGTCAAAAGTGATTTTTGTTAGATTTTTTACGTTTATTTCCGTTGCTGTTCAATTACTGTTGATGTAGGGCTACATGTTAAAACAACCAATCGATATTGTACTTTCCGTAGTTTTTGTCTTACGTATATACCCTTTTTCGGATTTAAATGTTTTTTTTATTCTTGAAATTTTTTAGAACAAAAACGGCATTAATTAACGGTGTTAATAAAAAATGGGGTAGAATAAGGCAGAAGCTAGTCAGGTTTGCTCTATTTTACAACAAAAATAGTAATATTTCAAGTGTTTCTTATTCGATCTTTTTGAACTTGGTATCGTTTGATAGTGAATTAAAAATGCTAAATAAAAGTGTCCGAGATGTTTTTTTTTTTATAAAATCAGCCGTTTTTTTAGTAATTTAAGCTTACAAAATTAAAATGGAATTTTAAGTTGAATCAATATGATTTTTTTTCTAACATGGTTCTCTTCTACCCTAAAAAGCATAGCCTTCTAAGTTTTATAAAGATCAGTTGAAAAAGTCCATAAATAAAAATGTTTATGAAAAAAATCTAAATGGTGGATATCTGGTTAACGAAGCGATTTTGGAAAAAATGTTATACTTGATTTTTTCTTTATTTTGACCCAAGGAATCACTAGGTAAAATATGTCCCCACTTTTTTGAACACCCTGTAAAATTTGGAGAAACATATTGTTTTAAGAAAATGGTATCTGAGGACTCTGATATCTACACCTAATCACCACAGCTGATATTCGCGATTTATTTATATCTATCACATGTTGTACGTGTTGTGGTGCAGACTGTCTGAAGATTTTCTTTTGCACGTGTTTTTATCAGTCTGAGTTCCATCTGTGATCGTGTGTGGTAAGAAAAGCAGACGTTCATAAAATATATCTTTTGCAAGTTGATAAAATCGATCTTTTTTAAATATAACACTGGTTACTAGGTCTGTATTAAAGTTAAGTCGTTCACAAATAATAATGTACTGTTGGAATAAACTTGTTATATTCCAGTTCTTTTAAGTTTAAGTCTTGCAGCCAAATAACGACGTTGTTACTGACTCGGAAAATAACGATGTTCAAAGCTTTAACTAAAAATGTCCACGGAGATATTGTTGTATAACAAAGTGGCTTTATCGACAAACGTTAACCAATTTTGTTAGAAAATGCTATTTTAGGTGACCTAGTACTAAATAAGACTTGTTGCAACCTTATTCATTGAATACAGATCAATTAATTGTTCACTATAAAATAACCATTGCAAAATTTATGAAATCCTTTTTTACATCTTTTATGTACTGTAAAACTTGTTGCAACCTTATTTATTGACGACAGATCAATTACATGTTCATTATAAAATAACTATTGAACATTTTATGAAATCCTTTTTCGCATCTTTTATGTATTGTATTTTAATTATAAAAAAAATTAAGAGTATTGTTTAAATTTTATTTCTCGTAGTCACGATAGTAGAACTGAAAAATGTTTTACCTTTATCGTAGCTATGTTTAGCAGTTTTCTCATATTGGGAATTAGTTGACCGTAGATAACAAGACCTGAACCCACAAGTAAAAAACTTTTTCTTTCTACACAATAATAGCTTTTCAATTCCCCTCAAGGAGATATGAAACCCATCAACACTTGCCCTTGCGGTGTCACTCAGTAACTCGATCCGATGATGATCCAGCTACTCGCCCCCTCACTGGAATACATCCATTGTGTAATCATAACCGTATATTGTTGGTACCAAGTAACCTACAACGGACCCTAAATTGAATTACTCTTACTCACACCTCTGAGACGTTTACTATGTCAAGAACTGTGTAGTATGGTATCGAGATAGCTATTTTCACTGCCAAATAAAGATTTCACTCTGAAACGTTTTGTATGAGTGTTAATATTTTTGGTATACATACATAAATCTTTTACCGCACTGAAAAATCTGTATATTAAAACAAGTTTTGTTAAAACAAGAAGTCTAATAATTATGAAATTTTCCCTGATGATACACAATCTGTTGCGAATATAGTTTAGTATTCTTCCCTTTTCTTGTCGAGATTTTAGAAGGTCTGTTAAACCATGATCTACATAAAGATAAGTTAAATTACAGATAGTTACTTGGATAAATCGTTAACAATTATCCGGTTAAAATATTTGGGTAAATGTGTAAAGAAACTTTAGTTTAATTTAATTTATCCTCAATATTCTTGATTGTAGCTTAATTTATATTGATCTATAAAAATAGGGTTTTTTGATTGGAAATAAATTACTTCTGAAAAAAGTGAAGTAATGCTTCATCATGCTTTAATTTAGTTTTCATTTTGTTACCAAAAAGCATGTGTTCTAAAATCCAACAAATTTTTAATAATTTCAAATCATAATAATTTAATAATTTATTAACATTATTCTTTTTGATAGACCTACACATACATGCCAGTTTTCCTGGGCCAAATCACGCTAAAGTAATTTAAAAACTCGAACTTTACTCAAAATTGTGAATGTGCAACACACGTTGACCAAAGAAGTATCTAACATGTAAATATTTTCTTTAATACCAGTCTGATTGGTGGAATTGGACCAACCAGATTAGGTCTTAGTTAATCTTTACAAATGTCATGAAACATAGATCTAACACGTCTGACGTAGGCAACTTTCTGCAAATTCCAGTTTTTATTTCAAACATAAAAAAAATAATTTCAACATTCTTAATTCATCAAAATGTACAATTTGTTTGTTTTATGCTCAAAATAAAGAAAATCTTCTTTACAATTCAAAAATGTATACAAATGGTGCAATATTGTTATGTTGTAGTTAGAAATATAAATTAGCTATTAATCAACAATAATAATGTTGTCACTTACTAGTTTTGCTTTTCCTAACAATAACAATATAATTTTACCAAACCCCAGACTGGATTGACCTATTTTTACGTAATGACAACGAAATTAAACTTTTACTAGAAGCGTCTCTTCACACTAGGGTGTCCACGCCTGCTCGTCATTGGGGTGTGTGTGTGTGTGTGTGAGTTGGTGTGTTTGTGTGTGAGGGAGATGAGAATGTGTTTGTGGCAGTTTCTCGCTAGACATGTGTCACGGCTCACAATAATATAACCTTCCACCCCCAGGGATAAAAATAAACCCTATAACTATACAGGGCTTCGCCGTCACCTGCTCTGGCTGATGATATGGTTGCTTTAAAAGCTGCGCTAAGAAACGCTTTATTGTGATGACTCTCGATACTCGTCTCTTTTCTTTATTTCTGAATGCATTTACCCAGCTATAAAACGAAAATCTCTTTACTGTTGTACCAAACTCGGAGTTTTGTCCCTTATGAAATTAATGTTTATCTGGATTTATAATACATGTCCTTAGTTTTATTTTACTAGTTAACAATATTCTCAATATGTAAAATGATATGCTAATTTAACTGTATGGTTTTCAGATTCTTCGCAGCCTGCCTCAATAAACTGCCACTACTGTCAACTCGTCTCTTCTTAGATTCAAGGTACCTACTATTTTTATAGTAACGATTATCCATATATATTAAGGATTATATTAGTTATTTTGTTTATTTTTAATGTCATCTGATCTTTTTGGAGACCAATTCGAGTAAGCTACGTCAAAAATCATAAAGATTATGAGTTTTCAAAAAGTAGTCTTAGAATTGTTACGATTTGTCAAGATAATTTTCTTGTTTTCAAATGCTAGTAAATCCATAACAATTATAAAATCAGTAAGGACAGTCATTTGAATGAATTATTTTGATAGGTAAGTCTCAGTACAAAATTCAATGCTGCCAACTATACTGATTCATTTGGCTTAAACAAACTAGCTTACAAAATAAATTTTGGAAGTTTGCATATGAACTTATATACGCATATGCACTTGCAATGCATTCAGAATACTAGGCGTAATAAATAAAAGCCCAAATAAAAAAAAATACATTGTTGAATAATTTGAATTACAAACAAAGGAATATTTAATGCTCTCCATGGTAGGTTTATCATATTTTCTATATTTATACATATTAGAAATTAAATAATTCATTTTTGAACTATATACAAAATACTAGTAAAATTTAACAGTTCATTGCCATATGAGTTCATTGTATTGAATACATTACTTAAAATATTTTACAATAATCCGTACTTTGATATCCTTAGCCTCCAGGCTATCATCAGGCAATGAAAACATCATGGTTACAGTTCCCGAGACTTCGGGTTCAAATCCTGCCAATCTTCAAAGATTTATAGTTACCCATGTACCCATGTAATAATGGCCAACCCTAATAGGCATAGCCTAAATAAAAGTGCATACTGACCGGGAATAGAACATAGCATCCTAGGATGAAAAGTTTGGACATAAAATTCAATATTATATAATTAAAAACTGTGCAAATAATTATTGTTGTTTTAGTCAATCCAACCCTTTGCCCTCCAGATGCTGTCCGCACTGCTGGTAGTTCTGTTCCTGCTCGCTGGTATATCCTGTATCTGTCCCCCCGAGTGCGAGTGTGACCTTGACGCCAGAGGGAGAAGGGTGGTCACGTGCTCCAAGGGTGGCATGCAGGACCCCATCCCCATCACGTTCATGGATGCCATGATGGAGGTAAGCTTATTTTAACCATACTATAATTTAAATGAATAATTAAAAAAAACCTTGACAAACGTGTCTATAGTGTCAATAGTTTAGCAACATTCACGTGTATAAACTAATATCTTCAAAACGTTCTTAAAACAGTTAAACGTTCTTTTCAATATATTTTGCCAGATGCAAAGATCTTTACGATATTAAACTTAGGGCTATACAGTACATGTCTTTACGATAAATGCTGCTTTAAGTTTACTACCTTTATTTTTCTCTAAATGTCTATTTAATGTGTCTACAAAGTGTTTTGTCAGTTTTAATTTACTGACGTACATTTTTGCTTATGTTTTCTGTTTATGTTCTCGATAGGGAATTTTTTCACTCTATGTAACGGGATACTAGTCCTCTTTCTATCTAGTCAACCTGGTGCAAGAAAATACCAATTAATTGTTGCAAAGAGGTAACACTCACAAGATAGAATACACACTTTTAAAGACTTTACCTTAATTTGGAGAAAATAACCACAATCCCAAATATCCAGTCTTAATTAATATTGTTATAGTGAAACCTTCTATTTACAAAACAAAGCCAATGCTGTGAAAATTTATTCAGAAATAAGATACAGCAAAGGATGTGGAACCAAACTATTCGTTGTTTAAGACCCCAACACAATAAGCTTTTAAATCCATATATAAATCCCAAAGTACCCATGAACTTATGAGAAAACTAAAAGTCACACCCCCATAAACCATATACGCTAAACCATAAATGTTCGTCATTACCAAGAACCTTGCGCAAAACTATCCATTAATCCACAGATTGCTCTTCAAGGTCGTAATTCCTTTCTAAAGAGAACTTTCCTTATACCTAATGTTAACCAATCAATAGTTTTATTAATACTAATGAAGTCAAACGGGGTGAAGCCTGTGGGTAACAGCTAGTTTTGATATAAAACATAATTATGGAAACAATTTCCAATCAACCTTTTCATAGATGTCCAATGATTTATAATGAACTAGACTATGTGACCCACTTGCTAAACCCAATAGGTCATTTGATGCACTATTCAAACATCATCCAACAAATTTTTACTCAGTCTGTTATAGTTTAATTTTATAGAGTATCCAAGTTTATAATTGAAATGTGTTTCATGAATGTTCAAGCAGATTGCTGATAAAGTGTAATAACTTTGATTGGTTTTACTGACAAAAATATAGCTTTGTTACAGTCTACTATAGTTCATGTTTGATTTTCCGAACTTTATGTTTTGCCATTTTACAGCTAAATAGGAAAACAACAAAACTAAAACATATTAGGTCTATATAGATATTGGATATTTTATAGCACAATGTTCACTACTCTCTTTTATGATAATGAAACACAATTTAGAGTTTGTTATGTAGTAGAATAATCTCTTCTACACTGAAAAGAAGCAGTCAGAAACTCATATTGCTTTAAAACCTGTTTCCTAGTTCTTGAAGGAATATTTGGTAGCTTTCTCAAATAATCTGCATTCATAGTAATTTAATGAACTTTAATCAGTTATGCAGAATATGTTTGATAAGTTAGTGTTAAGATGTGTTTTGTACGTGGTGAGATGTCAATAAGGGTTTTAACCAACTAACTCAAGCTAATTGAGGTAGGGAACTTTAAGCTACTTTTCAAAGGTTAACTATCTGATAGTAGGGTTTAGAAACCCCAAGTTAATGTCTCAAAGCGTACACGACAAGTAGTTGAGTTATGAAACCTAAAGTATCTAGAGTTGAGCTTGGAAACTTAAAGTTAATGTTAAAGGGTACACAGAGCCAGTTATTCCAGTATACATAATCCTCTCTAAGAAGATTAGGTTTATGTAAGACAATAAAGTTCCGGTGCAAACATTTGCCGGATGTCGTTCTGTGTACGAAATTAGCAGAGACAGCCCGAGAGCTACGGTGCACGCAACATTGCAGGTTATTTATTGCCTTTCCGGTCCTCCTTAACTCGTAATATTGACAAGCAGGTTTTGGTCTTCACGAAGCAAGCTTTTGCTGCATAACAACGTCTGTCTCTGCAATCGAATCTCCAACTAAATTATGACCTTTGGTTTATAAAACTACTACTATTGACAAATCTTAAATTTCCTATTAAGATGCATTGATGTGACACTTAAGGTTGAATAATTATCTCGACTGAGCTTTCATTTGAGCCTTTTATATGACATTAAAAAACATTTTGATAAATATAAATAATTTATTCAGGAAAATCAAAGAAAAAATTTAATTTGAATTTAGGCTAGAGGCTTTTCGATTTCATTTTCATCCCAGATTGAACTATAGGACTTTTCATCCTTTGTTACCTACTGTAGAAAATAACTGAAATATGTAGGTACTGCTATAGATTGGCATGCAACATTTACATCCATGACAATTAGATGATGCGTTTTCCCAACAATACCAACCTCGCCATAGAAAATATTTGGCTTTTTGTATTTTCTAAAAATGAATAAAGCCTAAACGTTCTTTGGGTTAAAATATTACAACACTTAACTTACAAGTGTTGTATGTTGTGTGTTTATCCTCAGTTACATGTTTTACGTGAATCCTTGATAAAACCTAAATTGTTTTAGAAAATGTTGATAGTTTAAAAATTCTCTGAAAGGTATTTAGGACTTTTTAGAAAGGAATAAGAAAAAAACTTTAAAGAAGTGTTTTCATAAATTTCAATTTTAACATAAAGGATATTTAACACAATAGCTATCAAATACTTTCTTATAAATTTGCCAAACTTGTGAATAAGTTGGAAATTTGACGTATTTACGTGCTTTTTGTTGAAGAGTTCTTATTGATGTGGAATGAAGTGGTAACTAACTACCTATAATGTTAAATTTATTACTATTATTATTGTTAATCACTTGTTTATTTGTTAGCCAAAAAGTATTTATAAACTATTGATTTTCCTGTGATGTTATGATCTGGATGTAGCGCACGATTTAAAATAAACATAACAAATTTAAAGATTTCTATCCAGTAAGCTACTCACCAAATCATGCTTTAGGTTTTACACCATGGTGGTTGTTTGGTATCACGTTATTTAGTTGTTTCTAACCATTCCTATGTTTACATCAGGTGCTCAAGATCTCAGCACCCGACAGTAACGAGAACTCCCTAACTATAGGACCGATCTTCAAGCAGATCTTCCATCATCTTACTTATTTGTTTCTAACGATTTCTATGTTTACATCAGGTGCTCAAGATCTCAGCACCCGACAGTAACGAGAACACCCTAACTATAGGACCAATCTTCAAACAGATCTTCCATCATCTTCTTATTTGTTACTAACAATTTCCATGTTTACATCAGGTGCTCAAGATCTAAGCACCCGACAGTAACGAGAACACCCTCACTATAGGACCGATCTTCAAGCAGATCTTCCATCATCTTACTTATTTGTTTCTAACGATTTCTATGTTTACATCAGGTGCTCAAGATCTCAGCACCCGACAGTAACGAGAACACCCTCACCATAGGACCGATCTTCAAGCAGTTCTCTCAGCTAGAGGAGGTTCACATAGTCAAGTCAAATATTCCAGCTATCGGAAAACATTCGTTCTGGGGCGTTCCTACTCTCAAAGTGCTCAACCTCACGCAGAACAACATATCTCAAGTACTCGAGTACAATTTCCAGGTAAATATTTGTTTAACAATTTCAACTTAAGGGATTTTTGCATTGAGATACTTAAAGCGTGTTTGATGACTTCGAGAATTTTGCTTACATCCAAGTTTTTCAAGCTGTTTAGGAATCATAAACTTCTTATATTACACTGAAGTTCAACACGTTGCCTGTAAATTCGGAAAAAAAAATAGTTTTATGATGAAAAACCAACTTTAGAAGATCAGAATGTGGTCCAAATGTTGCCAATAGTCAATGGTGTAACGAACTTGAACACTTCTTAAACTATTGTTATAAGTGCCAACCATAATTTGACATACTATAAAAAAACGAATTGTAAGTATTAAATAAATACCATAGGAGGCAACTTCAATCACTTTACATAATATTTTTTAAAAGAATCCCAAAATATTGCACTCATGATATCCTATCATACAATAGTAAAATTTTCTAGAAGTATTTGCATACTGTTTTAGGTTAATATACATTTGTTTAATTATTTTCTTTAATAACAATTAAAGTTGTTAAAAGAATAATACTTACCGGTTCATGTTCTGAATACACTTTTACAGCTTTAAACCAAAGCCCTATAAACCAAACTAACTGTTCACTTAAGTATCCTGGTTGTATAAAAGTAAAGTAAAATTAAATAAAGTTAAGTTAATTGTTTTATAGTTGGAGTCATTATTTTCTAAGAAGTAAAAATTTAGTTTCACATGCTTTTCCAAAATATATTTTCATGTTTTTTTTTTTTTATAATAGTAGTAGTTACAGAGTAAATATATTTTCAAAAAAATATGAAACCCCTTTCAACAAACAGTGAGTGATGATTTTCTGCTAGACTTAAGCTAAAACTGTCTCTTCACTAATTAAGAGCAGTATGCAGAATCCTCTTGGATAAACAAACATTAGTGAGTCTGAATAGTATTACGGGATTTAAACTCTAGGAAGACTAAGCTTTATGTTCCAAAGTGGTTAATAAGATTAAATTAAAACTGGCATTTACTCCTTGCCTTTTAGAAGATTTGTTTCGTCAAACAGTTAATTGTATTTTTATATTTAATAGTTTTATCTGAATTCAAAATTCATAGACGTTTTACAAAAACATGTTGTTTTTTATTTTAATAAAATGTTCTGTAGGGCTAGGAAGTTGAAAAATTATACATTTATATTGCTTGGTTAGCAAACTATTATTATTTGGTCGATAGCTCAGTCGGTAGCTCCACGTACTTCGGGCCCAAGGCAGCGATGTCGTGGGTTCGAATTTTGGAACCTATCGGTACCACGACTTTAAACAGTACATTTCACCCTTGTACTGTACTGACTCACCTCTTGTTTTGCTGGATACATTCCACGCACATATCCGTAGTCTATTTGGACGGTCGAATGCAAGGTTAAAAAATTTCACCATCCTCTTTTCCAAATCAAGTAAACTAATTCACATTTTCACAAAATGTAAAAACTCAAAAACTTGATTATTAACTACAGTTTCAGCCAAGCCCTCATTCATACCTAAGATTCCATTGTTTTTCCTATAACATACTAAGAGAGCAGTGAGGAGAAAATCATGCTATTGACGAGGGAGCAAGATTTTCTCATGTGGTGCCCCCATCGCAAAGGACCACCATCATCGAGATGGCAGAATATTCCCAAATGTGTTTCCCACGATCATGGTATCACCAAGACCAACCTTGGCTTAAGCATTTTGCTGCACTCTCAGGTGACAATGATCATCGTAAAATAAAAAATATTTTTTTTTTGTAGTCTTCACCAGATGTGGTTTGAGGCCTTAGGTTAGAGGCTCCCAATCTAAACCGTTGGCATTTTGTAGGAAATAAACCCAAACGTCATCTATATAATAATAGGCAAGCAATTTTGTTTAAAACCTTTTTCTGAGCTCGTATGCATCACAGGGGAAGTCTACGCAAACTGTTAAAAAAAGATATTTTTCTGAAGATGATCAGAAACCCTTCATAAATTAAAATAGGCTAAAAGATAAGTACAAATCATGAATTTTAAGATGTAAAAAAATAACATGGGATTTATGGATGACAACCCAATAACAATAAAATGGCTGGTGACGAAATAAGAATAAAATATGCACAGAAAATAAAAAAAATCAAAGAAATTTCAATCACATGTATTTACAGCATAGGGTCAAAATAGAGAAGTCTGCACAATACATATTTTTGGTGAAATTATCAACCACTGGATGGCCTCTAGTTTAAATAAAACTGACCTAACTCGTCCATTAATTTCTCATTGATTGCAACAGTTTCTCTTACACCTAAGTCCGATACGCTATTCACATTGACACTAGGCTAGGTAACACTCATTTACAGTTCATATACATCACCCTTTTCTATTTTTGTGTCATGAGTAACCACAGATTATTTTACCCTACTAAGAATACCCATACTATTATTAGTTCATTTCAGTTTTGTGTTGAAAAATAGCGTGTGTCTTTTTTTAAGGGTTTGATGCATCTAGAACATCTCCACCTGGAGGATAACAGGATAGAGTCGATGCACAGTGGAACCTTCAGGAAGCTGCCAGAGCTGAGAGTCCTTAGTTTGGCCAGGAACAGGATAACAGAGTTGGCTCCTCGACTATTCCTTAGTCTGGCGAAACTGACAAGGCTAGACCTCAGTGGCAACCCCTTGGAAGATCTTAGTCCTGAGGTCTTCAAGGATGTGCAGGTTGGTGGAAGTATTTATACATAATTTGTACAATATGAAGATTTCGCATTTATTTTCAGTGTTTTGTGCAGAACCATCCCGTCAATGTTTGATGGAAAATAAAAAGTTTCAGTTAGGTTCGTTAATAACAATTCGGTAAACATATTTCTTTCAAGATACTTGTGGTAAATATCAAACCCGTTTTGCTGGTGGCACTGTTTTATACTATATTTCATTGTTTGGTAGTAAAAGCATCTTAATTATGAGAGAAGTTCTCAATTAAAGGTGAATTTTTTATGTGTAAAGCAGATTTGTTTGAGAAAAACCATGGACATTAATCTTTAGTTGATATGTTTTGGAGATCTCACGAAAGAGTAAACAATTCAATATAGCCAATATTCTAGTGAATATGCAATTTCTGGTATAGGAAATGAACGATGGTATAACATTTTATTATATAATTTGGATTTCTTGTAATATACATCAGTATTTTTTCTTTCCAGGAGTTAAGAGTCTTCAGCTGTAGAAGATGTGGTTTGAAGAACATCAACGCTCACATATACAGCCTGCTCTCATCCCTGACACATTTGGACCTCGGAGACAATGACTTCAAATACATCGCATCGGACGAGTTTCGTGACCTCCGCAAGCTACAAGTTTTAAAGCTTGACGGCAACCATCTTCCAGTAGTATTAGAGAAAACTTTCAGTTGGACCCCCAAACTCCAAGTATTGTCTTTGGCAAGAAACAGATTGGCAAAAGTTACCACAACAGCTTTCGTAAACCTGACGACACTATTAGAACTAGACATAGGATACAACAAGCTCGACCGCGCCGAGACCTTAACATTCCAACCTCTTGCAGACTCTCTGCGGGCTCTCACCATTAGCGGAAACAACATTCCCATCACTGAGCTTAAGTACGTATTACAAGTTGTGGTCAAACTAAAGGAGCTATCAATAGCTGATATGAGCCTGTCAGACATTCCATTGGGGTTATTAGTACACCTAGAACATCTCAGGTTCCTTAACTTCTCTGGAAACAGTTTGATGCACTTTCCTTCACAAGTGCTCGCCCCAGTGCCGAAGCTCAACGAACTAGACCTATCAAGAAACAACTTCTACGGTCTGGATGACAGATTGCTGACAAGACTGGAGAACATCGCGATGGTTTATCTACAAGGAAATCCTTGGTCGTGTGACCATTGCCATATCAACTGGATGTTGAACAGGCTGGACAAGATGGACTATCTTCGAGAGGTCGTGTGTATGTATCCTTACTCAGTACAAGGTATGACTCTTGAATCTCTTGACAGAGAGAGTTTGGAATGGTGCAGTGCTGACCCATCATACAGGGATGACAGTCTGCGGCTAGCCTACACTACTAAGCTAGGGCTGATTGCTGCAGGTGCTGCTGTTGTACTACTTCTCATCTCATCCACAGTGATAGTGCTGACGGTGTTCTACTCGAGACACCACGCGGCGTACTACTACACTCACGAGGACAAGAGAGGACCCGAGCACGACTCTATCTTCGAGAACCACGGCGCAGTCATCGACGACACCAAGAAAGTGTCAATAGCCACCATTGACGAGATCACAAAAGACCCTGACCTACAAATCTTGGCAAATGGGACATGAGACTTGGGGTACTTTGTGTGAGACTCGAACAATGTGAGACTCACCAGCCAAGTGACGTCTTTGTGATGTATGTGATTCTTGTGGTGCATTTCGTGAATATGAGTGGGTGTAAGTGTGAGCTGCCTTAAAGTATCTCTTAGTATCGGAGTCATAGACCTCGATTGCCTTTTCACTTTCATCTAGGGTTATGCATACTTCAGAGATCCACGTTCTCGAGCTATACCCTTTCATATGAGACTGGTTACTTTATTGACTCAGAGTGTTTATGCTAATGACTGATAATTTTAACGAACTCACAAATAATAAATGTTGCATATTTGATCACTTGTATTGCTACGCCATTTCTGAAGAAATTCAAAATACGATAAAACCTTTACACATTGTTTATTTACACTATTTGTAATTAGTTTTAACATGGTTTCCACTAATCATTATGTTACAGTTCCTATTGGTTTTAAGAATAGCGATTACAAAGATATTTATCTAAAATATTACGTGTCAATCAGTATTTCGTTACATCGTATAGTTTAAAAGGTTTTGAAACTGCCTCGTTAAGAAATTATATTTTATTATTTTATTTTTTCCAATCATAATTTTTTTTTACTATATTCTTGGTTGTTATTTAGCTTTTAACTAATCTTGACATACTATAAGCTTTCCTTTGTATGAAAAAAACAAACCATTGAAAGATAACGGGGGTTGTGCTTAAACTAAGGTCTCCTTCGAGCTCCCATTGAAACCAAGCACGCTAGTTAAATCCAAAACCGACACCGTGTTCCTTACTTCATCCACTCTGTTTTATTTGGTTCACACACATATAGTTTTGTCATAGCATTCCAAATGTCGTAATAACAGATTGGCGCTTTTCCCAAGTATAAATAGCATTTTGTAATTGAATTTATGTTATTTCAATTGTCAACGGCTTTAAGTCTATCGCCAGTCGATATACAGTACAGTAGAAAATATGTGCAAGGCATGTTAGGGGCTCAAAAGTTAGTGGTCTAAAACATTTACAGGACGTTTTTAAGGGAGTGGACTAACTGATGTAGTTATTTTGTCTTATTTGGAGCAATGACTAAAGTTAAAGGAAATTTACATTCAGATCATGGCGTGACTAGCCCTTAAGTTTACAACACGCCAATCAAAAATCAAATTCCCCAAATTCAACTACTGTCTTACAGAATGTGAGTACTTCCTACCCCGCTGAGCAAATACGTATGGCCCTCTGCGAATTCCCATACTACTTTTGTGAACTTTCAACGTAAAAACATTTTTCTGCATAACACACCTGAACTGAAAACGTAACCGAAAAGGTTTGACCCCCTTTCTACAGAAACCATAACTCATTAAGGGGCATTAATTTTCCATCGCAACGTTTCCGAATTGTCCCATATGAGTTAGAATAGTAGTGAATGAAGTAATAATACGACGCAGTTTTAGATATTGACCACTTTGCAGCGACGGGATTCGTTGGAGACCTAAATTTACGAACAGATCTCGCGATTAAAATGTTGACCATTATTTGTACCTAACAAAAATGTATGTGAAATATTTTTTTATGTTGGTATGATTGATCATCTTCTATTGTTCGTGCTTAAGAGAAACCAGGCTTGTTTTAAGCCAGCAAGCATCAACTGTGATCCGTGTTTCCTACTTGTAAATACAATGCACAAACTGAGACATCCAATGTCTATGTAGATTGGCTTAAGTTTTCACTAATTAAATGTATATGTATATATCTATAAGATGTACTAAGTCATTTATTTTATAAATAGCTATAAGTAGATGTTTATATATTTTTCTGTAACTATCATATCACCTTGTTAAAAGCTTAGCCATTTTTATATTGTTCAAAATGTGACTTAAAGATTCTGTTGAACTAAGTTAGTGTAATTTCAAACATTAAACGGTTTTTAGTTATATCTTTTAATGGAAAATCTCTTGTAAGTTTACTAATGGTCTAAATGTTTTATCAGTTATGCTACTTTTCCTATTCCTTTTTTGTTACGATATTTTTATATACAATTAAAGATTTAACCTACTGTAAATAAAATAGCAACACATATTTTGTACAACAGACATTTATTTATTAAACCTTCCAATAGTTTATATTTCTGTGCAAGGTACTTTTCTGCATTGTGAGTGTGATCTCTTTTGGCTATAAAAATATAATGTGTTATTAAAAAATGTATATTCCTGCCAACCCCTTACTCAAAGAGAATAGCTTTATCAAATTTATTTTACTTTAAGAACTTTTAAAGTTTCATCTACCACGTTGCAAGAAAATTACCATCAAGATGTACAAAAATAATTTATACTTTGGTGAGTAAGAAATCTTAAATCCTACTTTTACAAACTTTACACTCCAAAATTATTATGCTCTTCCCCTATAAAACTTTCAAATGTTTTGTTTAGAAACCTTACATACCAATTATTCATAATTTGGTACAAGAAACATTTTGAATCACTTCCTTATTATTTTTCTTCACAAATAAGTTAATTATATTATTTATAAAATTGTGTTCAATGTAATTATACACAAAGTTTGTGTAGCTTTTTTTAGTAAACGATCTGTAAATATTTTAATTGTAACTCTAAAATATTTACAATAATTCTGATCAACAGTAATTCTCACATTTGAATAATCAAACATTTAAAAATGTATAAAATAAACATTTTTTTATCACGATATTTATGATTTGTTAGGTGTAGGCTTACAATTTTACAAGATGACGTGTTGCGGTGTTTCAGTGTATAATCGGCTTAGGTAGCCTTGGCTGCACCGGTGTAATGCTATTCGTGTTAATTTTTTTGTAGAATATTTAAATTTAGGAAGTATGCCTGTGTGAACTTTATTTATGCCTCACCACAGTGACCTTTTACTTAAGCTACGTTTTACTGGTTTTACTCTTGGATAAACTAATGGTAGTGCTGTAATACAGGGTGTTTCAAAGTTGTCTGGACATATTTTGTGAACTTGTTCCTTGGGCTAAGACAAACATAAAATGCCGTATAATTATGGGTCTAAAATGCCTAGATTTCTGTTCGTCGGTCTGTTTGTTATTTTTTAAGAATTATTTTATACCCTGGGCATTTTTTAAGATGGAAATTTCAAAATTGGTATAAATGTGTATTTTAGTATTTCCATATTGTTTATTATTTGTTATTTTACAGATCAGTATGGTTGTCCTATTAAATTGCGTAACCGAATGTAGAAGAACGCTGATAACTCGGTTGTTTGTCATCAGATTTTAACTAAAAAGGTATAATTAGATTAGGATTTAAATTATTGACCTTTTTAATATGAAAAACAGTTTTCTTCGTATTTACGGTTTTCAAGAAATCTGGCATTAAAGATTTTAACTTTTAACTTTGTAAGCTCTATTTATCTACTAAAATACACGTTTATATCAGTTTTGAAATTTCCACCTTGAAGAATGCCCAAGATATAAAATAATTATTAAAAATCACAAACATACCAACAAACAGAAATCTAGGCATTTTAGACCCATACTGATATGGCATTTTATGTTTGTCTTAGCCCAAGGAACAAGTCCACAAAATATGTCCAGACAATTTGGAAGCACCCTGTATAATTAGAATTCATTCCTACTACTGGAATGTCAGTTATTAATAATAATATACTGTTACCTTCTAACGTTCCAAAATGGTGTGGTCATACGACGCGTTTCGTCAACACAGTGACATCATCAGGTGATCCGCTATCGCTTCGTCTTGAACATTAACACAAAACACATATCACGAACACGAACACATAATTTTTACATATAAGGACCGATCGGTATTGTCGTCGCTGTGGCCACAACTCGCGTACGCACATGATTAATTCTGGGCGACTGGGGAGTCGTCGCCCAGAATTAATCATGTGCGTACGCGAGTTGTGGCCACAGCGACGACAATACCGATCGGTCCTTATATGTAAAAATTATGTGTTCGTGTTCGTGATATGTGTTTTGTGTTAATGTTCAAGACGAAGCGATAGCGGATCACCTGATGATGTCACTGTGTTGACGAAACGCGTCGTATGACCACACCATTTTGGAACGTTAGAAGGTAACAGTATATTACCCTGTATAAACCACAAGGGCAAAACTATCAACGTTAACCTTAAAGGTTTATGATTGAAGACACTAACTTTTGATTATGTTATCTTCAAACATAGAGCTCAACTTGTTTCGAAAAAAATTCCACATTCCTCATTTGCTAGGTTTTATCAGTCAATATATTATATTGGTTCTGAAGCAATAAAATTGCAAATGCTCTATATTTCGGAATTATGGATTTAATAAATTCCCCTTTGATTATGGTACTCTTTTATTATAGGAAAATTGGTGACTATTTAGACAGTTTTTTTTTTCAAGCATCTTTATAAAAACTAATTGCGTAGAAACCCCAAAGAACGTTGTGCATGCGTTTCATTCCCTGTTATCAAATGCAACGTGAACGACTGAAACAATATATTTCATCTATTATATTATTCTGTTGGTTTAATGGAATGTAGTGTCTGAATTTATTAGCTTAAAGTCTATATACCATTGAATATCGTAAAATGTACTACCTATTGGTATGAGTTTAAATGATAAGAGCTAAATTTATTCAACTCAATGATTGTGTTTACTGTAGCAAATAATCAGTTGTGATATCAAAATGCAAGTCAAGTGAGGAGCGGACAGTATGCCACTATCCTTCCTGAATATATGACGTCATTGATCATCCCTTTGTTTACGTGGTGTGATGGAAGACACGTCCCTTACTTTCATCCGACTCAAATATATATAGCGTGGTACACACAGGGTTTCTCATACAATAGGCTACTTAATATGAGTACCAGGTGGTGAGCATTGCTCGGTGGGTTAACAATTTAACAATACATATTTACATAGCATACATCTTTACAATTGCCAAAATAATTTGGGTTTCATTAAAAACTAACATTAATACCCTCTAAAATATGTAATAAAGGGAATCTAATGAAAAAATCTATCATACTCAAGTATTTATGCTGTTTGTATATTTTGTTGAACTTTTTATCACCTTGAGTCGTTGAAACCCATTGTAAATAAACTCGCTTTACTCTCACAGTCAACAATAACATCACAAACAAATATCAGCATTTGAAGACAGTATAACAATATAAATAGTTTGCAAAGTTACTGCCAGTGTTTAGGTGGCGTCCAAACAATAAGCTATTTAAAAGTAAAACTTAACTTAGCCAATTCGGTGTTAAATACTCAAATGTTTAAAATATTTGGTGTAGCAAATTGTTTCAAACCTATTCTTTCAAGTAAAGTTTTAGTTTGATATTCTTCTATAGCTCAAAGGAATAAAAAATATACGCGTTGAAACAGTACTTTTACGACACATATTTTAAAACTATTTTTTTAAAGTAAAGATTTTA